TACTCATGGAGCCGCCCACCCACCAAAGCTGTGAATGCCAAAACATTGCTGCAATTTAAGATCCAAATAGACAAAATCATCGGGACAAATAGGGGGAACTTTTGACAAGCTGCTGGCTTCCTGTCCTCATCAAGGCCTCTATAAATAGTGGCTCTCAGGTAAATTCATGTAAAAGACTTATTGTCAATATGTTCCTGCACAATGACATCTTCAAGAAACCACTAAAATGTCTTTGATAAAATCACTACAAAGCCCTAAATATAAAAATTGTATTAAATTGCCAAGGAAAAATTCAACATTTAGTGTATGCCTCCTTTAACTTGCTTAATTCTGCAAAAGAAATACAGTACTGTTCTCTTAACTGTATGTCTTAAATATACAGCACAAATAAATACCATGAATGGTTCTCTTAGACCAGAACTTTATCTCATCACTAAATCAATCACTAACGAGAAGTAAATAACTCTACAGTACTATTTTAAACGAATTACAATATTATTTACATAGCACATTTGTACAATTATGGTATACAACTGAAAACAAAAAATGATGCTAATGGAATGCACAAGGACAACTGGAAATATAAATTACAGTAATTTACACCAATCATTACCAGTGTTACTTCTACAGTATATCGAATATACAATTATTTTTCTTTCAATAATTACACCCTTTAGACAATTATATGAGCCATATATACCACCACATTTACAGAGGGATGGTCTTGGCAAGGGCCCACAGAGTAACAATGATACTAACTTACCACTATTGTACAAAACAAAGTAAACATTACTAGATTCTCTGAACAAAAACTTGCATATACAATACACTACAATACTTGTAATACTTTACAACATACTGTAGCGATATCCGATTCCCTGTTACCCGTTATAGCCGTTGTAAAGCTATAACGGGTAACATTATACCTGTTATATAATATTTTTATATAACGTGCAAAAATCACAGCCCTGGAGAGGCCACTACAAACCGACAACCAGAGTGCAACTTCATAGTCTCCCGAGACTGATGGATGCCTACTACTAACGATATCTAAGCAGTTGTATTTATTATGTCGAGCCCCAGGTCTACCCCTGTTGTAATACTTGTATACAAATTTTAGGGCCCAATGCATTTACCTACAGGAACCATAAACACATGATAACTTCAAGCAACTATTTGTTACTTTTTCAGTGTATGAAATTTTCTATTTAACTAACATCAATACAAAAATAAATTGGTCTATGAGATCATTAATTAAAATGAACAAGTCCAGGATGAAAGATAATAGCCAATGTAATGGGAGAATAGTTAATATTAAACAATATAAATCCATTATTTTCTATTTACAGTAGTACCCCTTCTCCCAGAAGGTGAGTCAAACACATCTTATCATTACATATTCTAAGCTTATGAGTAAGTTGGCCAGAACAGCTGCCGGTATTACCGTTACCAGAACTGAACAAGAGCTACCTTATGTTATAGACTGAAAGTAATCAATAGTGAAGGCCTAATGCTGAACAGAGAATGGAGTACTGATAATGATGCAGAACTACTGAAAGTTAAAGAGTTAACTTTATTGAGGTCTTGTCCTGTAGAGTAAACACCTCCTTTGATATTCTCTGCAGTTTGGTTTCCAACAATGCAACAGTACAGGTATCTGGTCTTTTATAATTGATTATAACACATTGTTTTAACATTAATTTGCTCCATCTACAACAGTTAATAATATTTTCAAGAACTTGTCACTTTCAATTTGTGCGTTTTCCCCTTTTGTTTACCTATTTGTTTGTTATATTCTCAATTCTACCTTTGCTCATCCTTTTTTTTTACTTTCTCTCTGTTCTGACCTAATAGTTCTCTTTCCTTCTTAGAGTGGCTTTCTCTTACTGATCATGCATAGTTTTCCTTCATTGTTATCTTGTAACTTTCTAACATTTCTGAACTCTTCTGCCATTGGGTTTACACAGTTTAGAGTCACCTTCAGGGGGGCACCACTCCTCATTACCTGTCAAATTTCTATTGTTGGACAGTTGGTTTCAAAACGTTATATGACAAAGAGTGCTGGGAAGACGGGACACCACGAGCGTAGCTCTCATCCTGTAATTACACTTAGGTAATTACATTTATCCTTGTTGATGTGGCCTTTGACCACCGATAACTCTTCCTTAGTTCACTTCTACTTCTACGTTTCTTTCTATCTTTGATGTCATTTTACATCTTCCCCTTGCAGTTAAAAATTCGAAAGGATTTATTTCAATCTCCTGCATTTCGTTCTATTTTTGGATTTGTGACAAATTATTTACGAAACTCTTGCCATATGTATTCTAGTGCATTCAGACTTGCAGCATCCCTTAAAATTTTTTTAACGATTCTTTCTGGCTATCTGAGCAAAGGTTTGTTTCGTATAAGATCTATACTTTACCCTTAGCTTTGTGACTACTTATTTGATTTTCAGATTTCCTTCCACTGAGGAATGTTCATATCTAGCTTTCTGACTTGAACATCCAAATTTGTACTAACACTTGCCACTGCTCTCAGATGATTATCTCATTCCTTCTTTAAAATTCTTAAAAATACTTTATTCTTCAAAAATCTTGATTCTCTTCATCAACAGTTTCACATTCCAAGCAATGTAGGAAGCTTAGATGTGGAGAGGACCCACAGGGAAGGTCACCACCACCACTGGCCCTCCAAATATAATCGGTTCACAATGCCATAACAATGGAAACTAGTAGCACTAACAGCCTACCTAGTATACTAACCTGCAACTGCTTGCACCATTGTGATATCATAGTAATCAACTAACAAAAACATCACCAAACCCATACAACAAATATATTAACATACACACATATCCTCAGTGGGCCGGGAAATATATTTTACCTACCTACCTACCTGTTGGGTAGGTAGGTAGGTAAATCTGCCCTCTCATCCTTTCCTACATACTGTACTATCTTTTCCCCTTTATCAACTCTTTTGGTCATAAACATAACTAAACAAATAAAGAAACCATCCACTCAGCAATGTTAAGACTATGTTCACTTTCCAACTGTGAACCTATTTATAATACTGTACAATGTTTTCTACTATAATTACAAATGTATTGGATAAACATGTCGAGTGCGAGAGGTGCTGCCGAGTTTATAAAAGTTTATTTACTGTTTCTATATAAGGCAGTTATTTATGGTTATACTTTTTTATTTTATATGTACACGAGTGAAATTATTGAGCTTTATTGCTGTAGAAAGAATAAAAGGTTATTTGAATAATATTTATTCAATAAATGTTAATTTTAACAATAATTTGTGAACTGTTACCGACTGTTGGTGTAACAAAACATTAAACAAAAATTTATCCTCACTTTGGAGGATACCAAACCGATACAAAGTCCATATACAGTACTGTATTGTACTGTGTTCATGGCAGTAAAGTGGAAAAATTTACAAATAATGTTCAGGGAGGTGTTTTATTTTATAGAAAAGTAAAAGTTTTTTTTTTTTTTAGGCCTGAAACCTAATTTCTTTGTCCCCATACAGTATACAGGCATACCTCAGAATAAGAGTTTAATCCGTTCCTGGAGACGCCTCGCCTTCCGAAAACTCGCATTCCGAAGTTAATTTTCCCATAAGAAATAAAGGGAAATGAATTAATCCGTTCCTGACTACCCCAAAAACCCCACATCAAACTAAATTTTTATACCTAATTTACCTAATTCATCTAAATAAACCTACAAAACTGTGTTCCAGTTATTACTTACCTTGCTGTCGAGTGCTGTAGGCGTATGGAAGATGGTGAGGAGGGGGAAGGAGGAGAGGAGTTACTGTTTGGAAGGGGAGTCCCCTTCCATAATCACATCACATAACCCCATGCCTTGTAACACTATGGATACCACTTCTCTTTCTAAATTTTTCAAACCAGCCCTGCTTGCCTTAAACTCTTTCTTATCTGCATCACTCGTTGCAGGGGTATTCTTTAGAAGGTCTTCGTGCAACACCCTGGCTTTCTCACAAATAATGGCCTCCGAAACACTATCACCCCTCAACTCCTTGTCGTGTATCCAAATTAATAACAACTTTTCCACTTCTTCAAGTATTTGTGGTCTTTGTGCCGTTAATGTTCTTACTCCTTTTGCCACTTTAGCACCCATAATCTTATTTTTCTTCTTAAGTATAGTGCATATTGTTGATGTGGCTTTGTTGTACTGCCTACAAAGTTCAACAACACGTGTACCGTTCTCATGCTTCCGAATGATCTCTTGTTTCTCCTCTATTGTCATCCTCACATGAGCTTTCTGGCCTTATCCTTACCACTGGCTTTCTTGGGACCCATGGCGAGATATATAATAACAAATTGTATAGACAAATCACCAAAAATCAAACAAAACACTGAAAATCCGCGAGAAGAATTGATGTGGGGGTAGTCACTGAGCGCGAGACAATAATAAACTGAGGGGCGGCGGGGCGGAGGGGCGACGAACACGCTAGGTCGGCTGTACGCGTATCAACAAACTCGTGTCCAAACTCGCCTCCCGAAGTAACCATCGCCTTCCGAGACAAATTTTTGGAGTAAATACACCTCGCCTTCCGAAAACCTCGCATACAGGGACAATCGCATTCCGAGGTACCACTGTACATACATACAGTATCCATAAACATGCTTAACATTAACTCGGTCCACACATTATCTTGTGCCATTTACATGTACAAAACCTTGTTCCTAGATGCTAATCCTGATCTGAAACTCTTCCTTGACAGATGTAATAGAACCCATAATCACCACACCATAAATAAATCTCTCTTTGATATCCCCCAGAGTCAAACTAAATGTGTAAACATTCTATGCAAATAGAGGGACTATGGAACTCTCTCTCTAATGAATTAAAAAGCTGTCCAACTTATGCCTTATTCAAAAGTAAAACTAAAAAGTACCTAATTTCATCCACAGAGTTTTCTACCAAGTGCTTCAAACTCGCACTGTATCTTGTGCTCCTCACTCCCCCAATATATGTGCCTGCATCATACATCACCACCACTGTAATCACTGCTATCATCTTACATCATGATTGTTGTGTTGAATGCAAATTTTACTACAATGTACCTGTTGAGAATTCTCAAATTTTACAGTAATGTACCTATTAATTTTCTTCAAATATTCTTACAATGTACCTGTTAACATTCTTCAATTTTTTCAACAAATTACCTACTTAAAACTATCTGTTAGATTAAGGACCTGCCCAAAATGCTATGCATGCTAGTGGCTTTACAAGAATGTAAAAAAAATCAATCCTATTTACTCTCATAAGTCCAATGTACCTTCTTGTATATACAAGAAGACAAGAAGGTACATTGTTGTGATACAGTACAAAGTCTCCAATAATAATGCAACCCACACACACACACGTGAAAAGAAAGGTTAAATGATGATGTTTTGGTCATTTTATTTTTGTTTCATGTGGGTTGGGGGTGTTGATTTTCATATATGTTATTGTGACTTATTCCCTGCAAGTCTCCATTGCTTTGATCAAACACAAGGTGTCAATTATGAACCCAGGAATAGGACATATGGATTTTTTTTTTTTTTTTAACAAATTCTAATTTATCATATAAAAATGGTGTAAAGATATGAAGATAGGACTACTAAAAATAAATTATATTGTACTTTTTCTGAGGAAATTTCTTGAACCTACCAATAAAGACAATGTGTGGGTCACTATGTAGCTTTAGCTTTTAAAGGCTTGAAGAGCCAACAATATTGTATTCTTAAATCTAGTTTGGAATATCTCACTCAAATGGAGTAATTTAGTTGAAATAGTTATAGCCTTAGGTAGGAACCAGCTTTGCTAATGGATCTAAGACAGCCACTAGACCAGCAAATGATGAAACGCTTCCCAGGAGTCCTACCATTCCCGGAGAAAGTCTCGTGTGACCGAGGCTAGTTAAAGGAATCCATATATCACAGATGTTCTTTAAGCTATCCCAAAATATATCTCGATGGCCCTCAGCAAATTGTACCACTGGTCTTGTTACTGGAATGTAATCATAAGCTGCTTTTATGATTGGGATAGTTTTGTACAGGCATGGCTCTGGAGTCCGGCACTGAACCTGCTGTTGCAAAATCTGAAAAATTTCATATATATCCCTAAGCAAATTCAGAAATATAGACCCTAGCCAAAACTTATTAGAATAATCTGACCATTTCTGCTTGTTGATATCATAGAGACCAACTCTGCCGACCCAGATGATGTGATCAACCATGAGGAAGCAGGTCTGGTAGATCCTAGACAAGGTGAGGAGGACACGCAGGACCAAGTTTGGAAGGTGTTGTGTGCGCAGAGCTCCATGAAGAACTTCAAGACTTTTTCCTAGGCGTAACACTGTTGAAGGACATACAATGTTACTATTATCACAACATGTTCAGAATACACTGGTCTACAGCCAAAATTCCTCTGAAACAAATGAAGTCAATATTGACTAATTCTGGGTCACTGAGAATAGAAATGATATTTAAAATATTTGATTAGCTCTAGTTTTCATCCAGGATGAGTCTTAAAGCTGTTTTGCTACATAATGAGAGTCTTTTGCCATCAATTCCATTTGGTTATGCAGCCCATATAAGGAAACTTATGACAACATGAAGCAGCTTTTGATGTGCATAAATGATGACCAACATCAGTGGCAGCTCTCTGGTGACTTGAAATTTGCTGTTCTTGTGATGGGTCTGCAGGGTGGATACATAAAATAATGCTATTTTTTTGCGAGTGGGAGAATCATGTGAGCGATTCCCTCTATGTCACAAGAGACTGGCCACTCCATCCATCATTGGAGCCTGGGTGAAAAGCATTCAGCATCCACCACTTGTTAAATAAAACATGATTTTGTTACCACCCTCACACATGAAACAATAGCTAATTAGCAATTTTAATGATCCTATTTGAATTCAGCATGTCAAAATGCATGATAAACATCTCTTTTTCATCTCAGGAAGAGACAACTTTTGAAAAATTGTTGACCAGTGATGTTTTTAAATAGAGGAAGAATGTTTTCAAGTCAAAATACTGAACAGTACAGTACTAAATAGATCCTTCAGTACAGTATTCTATCCAGTACAAAATAATTTCAAATAATTTGTTCTAGATTTTGTAATTGTTCAGAAATTATTATGTCGCGAGCAGAATGCTCAGTAACATGTCTCGCACGATAAAATCACATTAACGTGACGTATCGATGAGAAAATTAGTAGGAGCCACCTGCACCCAGTGTGGTGCAGGTTCAAATCTTACTCATGGCTCCTACTGATTTTATCATTGATATCATGTTAATGTGATTTCTTTGTGCATCTGAAGAGAAGCACTGAAGGTAGAACTCCTAGACCACAACCAGAGTGCATGGGGGACAATGTGTGAAACCCTGATTGGGATTCAGTGGAAGCCTCAGGACCCCTAAAGGATTCAGTTGAATCCCAGGTTAGTTTTGTTTTTGACCATGTAGTGGTGCAGTAGTCTATGGTGTGGTTGAGAGTTTCCAGCGTGCAGGTTCGAATCCTTCTCATGGCTCCTGATTTTCTCACAGTATATTACTTCCATGAGAGGACACTCTTGTCCTCATTCACAGGACAGTGCCGTCTATGTATTATTTCATGGAAACACCTAATCAATGTGACTAAATGTTTTTGAGTAGATCTCCTTTGGTTGCTCCCCTGAGGTATATACAAGACCTCACCCCCTAGCATTGCTAACATACTAGGCACTGAGCAATTTTACACTCTACCAAGGAAAATAACTTCTCAAATTGTTTTCTAACACTGCCCTGGTTCAGTCTAGCCCGAGAATTTGGTAGGGTGAGCAGCAAGTAGAGTGTGGTTTGTCTTCCTCAGATTATCATGCGAGCTGGCCCCTGGCCATCACTTGTCCAAAATTGTGTCATCCAGAGAGCCAAATATGTTTTGAAGGTGAACTAAACCCTCTCCCCATGCTATGTAAATGATGCACACTCACACAAGCTACCATCACTTCCTCTCTTGGCAAGCAGTAAATCTTTTTAAAGTTACAATATATTAAATGCAACATACTGTATTTATCATTACAGTAAAGCCAAATACAGTACTGTAATTTATGCATTAATGATAAGGAAGCAGTGGAAAATAGGCTGACTTTGGCAGGTCTATGGAATATACAGTATCTCCATTTTTCTCATACTACAGTACATAAGCTTAAGTTTGATTCTCAAGAATTTGCTCTCCATTAGTTTTTCAGCAAAATATCTTTCGTAAATCTAAGTTTACTAATCAAGACTTGTTCCGATGAATTTACTTTCACAAGGCATATGGTAAGAGGCTTACTTCTCATTTAGTATTGTTACCCCTTTAAACTTATAAATAATTTACCTAATTGTTCTATTCTAAGTTATGCTCAAAAGGCTATATGTACTATTGGCTTTATACAGTTTACACTGTGTACCTACAACTACTCCACTGTATCATGCTTCAAATGTATCTTGTATAAATAAACAATTTATATTACTATTACAGTACTACTATTACTACTAAGTAAATTTTTTTTTTATAAAAGCTCACATTTTCTAAAGGAAGAAAAAGCACTCTCCAGGATCTTGAGGCGGGCCACAGCATCCCTCAGGTTCTTCCTGTGCTCCAAGTTGTGCCAGACAAAGCGGCTTAGGTACTGAATCAGCCTACAGTGATAAAGTATATATTTAATTCAGCTAATTGCATTTATTATTAGAAAACCAGGTACAGTATCAGTTTACATCAAATCAAACATTTCTGCTATGTGAGGAAGAATGAGTCCATCAATCAGAAGCGTGCAGGAATTTCTAAACATACTACAGTACAACTTTTCATTTGAGGCTAATGAGAGATTGTTTAAACTTTGCCTAACAATTTCGGTTCAGTACTGTACTAAATTAATTATCCCTTATTTAACAATATTTCTTGAACAATGACTTTGTAATTGTCATATAAATTTCATCTTTAAATTCAATTCAAGGTTTCATTTGTTAAATATTAATCCCTCTCAAGATAACTGTTCCTGTGCTATCACTAATTAAGGCGTGTAGGTTACAACTATACCTCAAACCAACAATTGTACAATGACACAAGCCCTCCATAAAAGGTCTTAGGTGTTAAAAAAAGACCAAATCTTGTATTAACACAAAATACAAGAAGGGTCGTCGTCCCTTCACCTTCTAGTGTGTGGTCTGGTCAACTTACTTTAGCCACGTTATTGTGACTCATCGCCTGCTTAACACAAAATTTTCTTATGTTCAAAACTCTAAAGGACTGTTATTAAATTGTTACAAAGCTTTCCACTATGTGTCTAAAACATATTATGGTACAATATGAATTCTTCAAATTAGTAATCTACTTTAATCTGAAACAGAAAATTTATCACAGTTCATGATCGAAATGGTGCACATAGATAGAGGCTTTATAAAATAGACTAATACTTTATCAACTAAGTAATCACTGCTCACCTGATAAATAAAATATTACTGTATTAGTATTATTAAAATAAAAGAAGACTCGGTTACAAAACTAGAGCGAGTATAAGGTTTACTCACAACAAAACGTATGTACAAATGTCTTTTATGCATCTGACCAACCAATAGAATATGTTTATTACCTTATAAGCTTGTCCTTTCCCGTTGTGCTTGCATTCAGCCTGATCCACGAGTCCATGACTCACACTACAGAAAATACAACAGATTAAGTATACACTACAGGTTTAATTAATACTGAAAATTTTTTTTTTTTTTTAGAAATATAAAATTCCTTAAATTAATTTTCAGATTAAAGCATTTTATAGATAAATAAACACTGTTCCGCTGGGTCCACCCACGACACCACTCGAACATCCTAACCTACCAGAAATGCACGAACCCAAGTCAACCACCTTACTGAACGAACCCAAGCATAGAAAATGTGTATTCTGGCAAGCTGCTACTTTTTACGTTGCACTTGGTACATTGGTTAACCCATAACCAACGCTGGAAGCAATCGTATTGGCATTTGCCTTTCCATCGGAGATTTTCAGCACCGTGGATAAGGGGACCTGCTGCATGGGTGACAGCTTCTCTCCCGTATCAACCTACCCTGGCTTTGCGCCCTGCAGAAGCCACTCCAAACTGACAACCAGAGCAGAACTCCATAGCCTCCAGAGACTTATGGATGCCTACTACTACCATAATGACATTAGTTGAGAAGATGGGTTTAGGCAACCATTGCCCCACATTGACAGATAACTGTGCTAATGGTATTGCTACATAATTGTAGTAGACAAAAGGTGGAATAGAGTGAGGTTACAAAATAAAAGGTGGTCCTAAGTCAAGTCATGCTGCATTAGTGTTACTCGTAATAGAAACCTAACCTAACCTGGCAGAAATAACGGAGAAACATGATTTTGATGCAGATATAATGGTGGAGTGGGGCGACTTGACCAGGAGCTTCAGAGCCAACACAACCAACAAGTGTCTCACACACAGGAACTTGTGGCTGGTCCACGTGTATAGTACTTGTCATAATTAACGTCTTGGACATAGAGAAGAGTTGTACTATACTTTAGATAAGACCTCACACACGAGGTATGACAATAAAAGCCAAACTAGAGATCATCAAATTCTTGCAAATGTCTTAATAAATCTCTTAAGTCACCACCCAGATTACGAGTTAAATAACAGACTAATTCCTCACCAAATTGATAAATGTCGAGTCGAAATAAACAGCCGTTTATCAGGTGTGTAGTCTTGGAGGCAGGTGTAGGAGCCGGGTGTGGCTGGCCCAGCCTCCCGCAGCAGCTACACCAATACTAAAGAAACCAGACGAAACCTATTGGAAACCAAGGGGCCTGATAGATCATCATGACTATTACAAACATTATCAAGCACAGTATTAAAAATATGTAATTATTTATATTTTGTTATCACAACAGAGGTCAATTAGATACAAATCTATAATAATAAGGTATTATGGGAGTCAGCTGTACATGCCAATATCAAGTAAATCAAGAAAATCCAGTAAATCAGGATTATTATTTTTTTTTGTATTAATAAGAAGCTTGCCTGGTTGCTTTGACGTACTCAACACTGCTAGTGAGATGCGCTTCCTATATACTGTTCTTTATAAGCTTTAAACCTTAAGGTGATCTGTCATATATACAGCAGTTATATTCTTTTGAGATCAAGGATACATACAATTAACATACAAGCCTTTGGTAAAAATGATCCAATACACAGGTATATATATATATATATATAACTGAAAACTCACACCCCAGAAGTGACTCGAACCCATACTCCCAGAAGCAACGCAACTGGTATGTACAAGACGCCTTAATCCACTTGACCATCACGACCGGACATAATGAGGTGATAGCCGAGGCTATATGAACCACCCCAACGCCGGCACTCGGATAGTTATCTTGGGCATAGCATTTTACCAAATCACCTCATTCTTTGGGGCACACGTGAGGAACACAAATGCGAACAAGCCTGAATGGTCCCCAGGACATATGCAACTGAAAACTCACACCCCAGAAGTGACTCGAACCCATACTCCCAGAAGCAACGCAACTGGTATGTACAAGACGCCTTAATCCACTTGACCATCACGACCGGACATAATGAGGTGATAGCCGAGGCTATATGAACCACCCCACCGCCGGCACTCGGATAGTTATCTTGGGCATAGCATTTTACCAAATCACCTCATTCTTTGGGGCACACGTGAGGAACACAAATGCGAACAAGCCTGAATGGTCCCCAGGACATATGCAACTGAAAACTCACACCCCAGAAGTGACTCGAACCCATACTCCCAGAAGCAACGCAACTGGTATGTACAAGACGCCTTAATCCACTTGACCATCACGACCGGACATAATGAGGTGATAGCCGAGGCTATATGAACCACCCCACCGCCGGCACTCGGATAGTTATCTTGGGCATAGCATTTTACCAAATCACCTCATTCTTTGGGGCACACGTGAGGAACACAAATGCGAACAAGCCTGAATGGTCCCCAGGACATATGCAACTGAAAACTCACACCCCAGAAGTGACTCGAACCCATACTCCCAGAAGCAACGCAACTGGTATGTACAAGACGCCTTAATCCACTTGACCATCACGACCGGACATAATGAGGTGATAGCCGAGGCTATATGAACCACCCCACCGCCGGCACTCGGATAGTTATCTTGGGCATAGCATTTTACCAAATCACCTCATTCTTTGGGGCACACGTGAGGAACACAAATGCGAACAAGCCTGAATGGTCCCCAGGACATATGCAACTGAAAACTCACACCCCAGAAGTGACTCGAACCCATACTCCCAGAAGCAACGCAACTGGTATGTACAAGACGCCTTAATCCACTTGACCATCACGACCGGACATAATGAGGTGATAGCCGAGGCTATATGAACCACCCCACCGCCGGCACTCGGATAGTTATCTTGGGCATAGCATTTTACCAAATCACCTCATTCTTTGGGGCACACGTGAGGAACACAAATGCGAACAAGCCTGAATGGTCCCCAGGACATATGCAACTGAAAACTCACACCCCAGAAGTGACTCGAACCCATACTCCCAGAAGCAACGCAACTGGTATGTACAAGACGCCTTAATCCACTTGACCATCACGACCGGACATAATGAGGTGATAGCCGAGGCTATATGAACCACCCCACCGCCGGCACTCGGATAGTTATCTTGGGCATAGCATTTTACCAAATCACCTCATTCTTTGGGGCACACGTGAGGAACACAAATGCGAACAAGCCTGAATGGTCCCCAGGACATATGCAACGGTTCATATAGCCTCGGCTATCACCTCATTATGTCCGGTCGTGATGGTCAAGTGGATTAAGGCGTCTTGTACATACCAGTTGTGTTGCTTCTGGGAGTATGGGTTCGAGTCACTTCTGGGGTGTGAGTTTTCAGTTGCATATGTCCTGGGGACCATTCAGGCTTGTTCGCATTTGTGTTCCTCACGTGTGCCCCAAAGAATGAGGTGATTTGGTAAAATGCTATGCCCAAGATAACTATCCGAGTGCCGGCGGTGGGGTGGTTCATATAGCCTCGGCTATCACCTCATTATGTCCGGTCGTGATGGTCAAGTGGATTAAGGCGTCTTGTACATACCAGTTGCGTTGCTTCTGGGAGTATGGGTTCGAGTCACTTCTGGGGTGTGAGTTTTCAGTTGCATATGTCCTGGGGACCATTCAGGCTTGTTCGCATTTGTGTTCCTCACGTGTGCCCCAAAGAATGAGGTGATTTGGTAAAATGCTATGCCCAAGATAACTATCCGAGTGCCGGCGGTGGGGTGGTTCATATAGCCTCGGCTATCACCTCATTATGTCCGGTCGTGATGGTCAAGTGGATTAAGGCGTCTTGTACATACCAGTTGCGTTGCTTCTGGGAGTATGGGTTCGAGTCACTTCTGGGGTGTGAGTTTTCAGTTGCATATGTCCTGGGGACCATTCAGGCTTGTTCGCATTTGTGTTCCTCACGTGTGCCCCAAAGAATGAGGTGATTTGGTAAAATGCTATGCCCAAGATAACTATCCGAGTGCCGGCGGTGGGGTGGTTCATATAGCCTCGGCTATCACCTCATTATGTCCGGTCGTGATGGTCAAGTGGATTAAGGCGTCTTGTACATACCAGTTGCGTTGCTTCTGGGAGTATGGGTTCGAGTCACTTCTGGGGTGTGAGTTTTCAGTTGCATATGTCCTGGGGACCATTCAGGCTTGTTCGCATTTGTGTTCCTCACGTGTGCCCCAAAGAATGAGGTGATTTGGTAAAATGCTATGCCCAAGATAACTATCCGAGTGCCGGCGGTGGGGTGGTTCATATAGCCTCGGCTATCACCTCATTATGTCCGGTCGTGATGGTCAAGTGGATTAAGGCGTCTTGTACATACCAGTTGCGTTGCTTCTGGGAGTATGGGTTCGAGTCACTTCTGGGGTGTGAGTTTTCAGTTGCATATGTCCTGGGGACCATTCAGGCTTGTTCGCATATATATATATATATATATATATATGTATATATATATATATATATATATATATATATATATATATATATATATATATATATATATATATATATATATATATATAACTGAAAACTCACACCCCAGAAGTGACTCGAACCCATACTGCCAGGAGCAATGCAACTGGTGTGTATAGGATACCTTAATCCACTCAACCATCACGACCGGAGGTGATAGCCGAAGCTATTTCAACCTCCCCCCCCCCCCGCTGGCACTCGGATGGTAACTTTGGGCATAGCATTTTATTAAATCGCCTCATTCTTTGGGGCACACGTGAGGAACACAAATGTGAACAAGCCTGAATGGTCCCAGGACTATATGCAACTGAAAACTCGCACCCCAGAAGTGACTCGAACCCATACACACCAGTTGCGTTGCTCCTGGCAGTATGGGGAGCTGGTCGGCCGAGCGGACAGCACGCTGTACTTGTGTTCCTGTGGTCCTGGGTTCGATCCCAGGCGCCGGCGAGAAACATTGGGCAGAGTTTCTTTCACCCTATGCCCCTGTTACCTAGCAGTAAAATAGGTACCTGGGTGTTAGTCAACTGTCACGGGCTGCTTCCTGGGGGGTGGAGGCTTGGTCGAGGACCGGACCGCGGGGACACTAAAAAGCCCCGAAACCATGTCAAGATAACCTCAAGATGGGTTCGAGTCACTTCTGGGGTGTGAGTTTTCAGTTGCATATAGTCCTGGGGACCATTCAGGCTTGTTCGCATATATATATATATATATATATATATATATACTGTATGTATGTATATATATATATATATATATAGCGGGAGATATACTGGCGGGAGATATATATATATATATATATATATATATATATATATATATATATATATATATATATATATATATATATATATATATATATATATATATATATACATATATACTGTATATATAATTATATAGTCCTGCGACCTTGCGAACTTGTAACCTCGTGCAAGGACTCTTGCACAAGGTCGAGAAATTGTTTACCTCCTGGTTGTGATATTAGGTTGACCCAATCTATGGTCTCGTGATTAAGACCCCCATTATTAGGGTTTGGGTTTCAGATGCCGCATTGATCACATTGTGCAGATCTGTAATTTTCTCTGCCGCTGCTGTGTCAGCCCTGAGGCATACTCCCACGGTCATTTGGCTACCATCCTGAGTTAATATGTTTAGTCGCGGTAACAATCCCCTTTACTCCCGGGTGCCTTAAGCTGACACGAAGAACTCCAAAATTGACTTGAGGACTACTACATTTCCTTGAAGACTACCAATTTAACCGGAAATCCATCAAATTAACTCGAAGATGAGCAAATTGACTTGAAGGACACGAGTCTGCATGTGGTAAAGCAACACACACACCCTTATCATGTGAGTGGTGATACGAGAGGGAAGTATCCGAAACGCTTTGCCTGCCCGAAACGCTTTGCGTAATAGTGGCTTATTTAGGCATTGTATGTACTAGCTCTATCTATA